GTGACTCAGATGAAAAGGTGCCTATCTATTATGTCTACAGGGACCGTCTGCTAATGACGAGATTAACAATTTGATCACTTAATTAATTAATCTCAACAGTACTATACCCTTGATCTGCCAATCATTTTTCACCCTCTTTATCATGACTCTTAACATATCTGCGACAATATTAAAAAGGAGCATAAAAGGAATCTCCACAATATTATATATATTTGTTTGTCTGTTTTTAAATTGTGAAAACGGAACTCAAATTCAAATAAAATGGAAAAAAATATTTTTTAAACAGGGCCATCTTCTTTAATCCTTTAATGGAGGCGGGCGCCTTCTAACGACCACCTCCATTAAATCATATTGTGGAGACACCAACCGGGACTAGAGGTCCCCTCTTGCAAAAGCCTGCGGCTCTAGCCGTTGGGCAGGGGACTTTAGTCCTGGTTGGTGGCTCCAACCGAGACTAATCCTACCTTTAGTCCTGGGCTCAAATATGGCCGGGACTAAAGCCAAAAACTGAAAGTCTGTTCTCTACTAGTGATATTATGGCCGCCTACGTTAATACGGTTAATGGAGGTGGCCAGGGCGCCCGCCTCCGTAAAGCGCCATTAACGCTGGCACTTAATTAGAGGTGGACGCCCTGTGTCTGCCTCTGTTGTTAACGTAGGCACTAGTAGTGTTCATAACTAGCTTGAATAAATTACTAGCGACTGATGCCAATCCGTTAGGCAGACACGACTCAACCTCCAATTTAGGCTTGATCCACTCCACGCGACGCCATCTAAGGTCTTGTTTGGATACACTTGTATTTTGCGTGAATTGAGATGAAACTTATTTTATTTTTCATCTCAACGGACTCCAACGCAGGTGGATTGAGATAACGAGTGCATCCAAACAAGCCCTAATGCATGAGTTGATCCACGCTAGCCAGGCACGACCCTAGCCCGGTAGTGCGTGAGTTGGGCCACCTAGTGCGACTCCCTTGCCGTGGCCTAGCTTCGCGTTCATTGCTTAACTCTGATACAGTTAATTATCAAGGTTCACGAATTCTTTTGGAGACAGTAAAAATCTGTAACTCAAGTCATCGTGGAGTTAGTTATCAATAACTCAAATCAGTGTGGAGTTAGTTATTCATGTATCAAGGGCTAGTATGTCTGACAAAAGGCCTCTCTCGATTTTCCTCATCGTTCTATTATCTTTGATTGCACAGGTACATAAGTACATGATGCACATTTATTTATATCTGGATAACAAACTACTTAAGATCTAGTTTCATGGTTTGATCGGTTAGACTACGGACTGAAATTACATTAATAATTTGGTGGTACAAATATTTATTTCGTAGTGATAGTGATGGTCAGGAGTTCAAAGCATATATATTGTGTTGTTTTTATTCTTTATTTTTATTATTATTATTTATATAATACTTGTTTATATTTTCACATTTACATTTAGTTGAACGTGAACAATAAAAATAATAGAATGGAAGCATGTTTTGTTGAATGTGATAAATAAGAATGGAAAACGAAACCGTAACCAAACGTAATCGGTACTGGAGAAAAAAGAAGAAAGAAATTAAAAAAGGCATGAAAAAAAAACATCCGAACAGGAAAGGTAATTAGAAAAAGTGTACGATCGACAAGGACTCAGCTTGTCTTCCTGACGCACAGGATCTCAACCGCGATCTCAACCGACAAGGACTCAGCTCTTTCTGATCCACAGGGTCTCAATGTTTTTGGGAAAAAACAGATTTTTTTAAAAAAAAACAACTAAAACTACAAAACTCGTTGTGGTTTAATATTAGAATAGATTTCTACTCTTATCCTTTTCTATTTGGATTCTGATTAAGATAAAAAAACTGAAACTACAAAACTCGCTGTGGTTTAATATTAGAATAGATTTCTAATCTTATCCTTTTCTATTTGGATTCCGATTAAGATATACTCCGTATTTGGATTAGAATTCCTAGCTATCTAGGTTACCTTGAGAAGTCTTGCATATGTCATATAAAACAGGACGGTTGTAGCCTACATAGTCGAACAGAGACCACATTCACATAGTTAGAGAGGGCCAGACAAAAAAAAATGGGAGAGAAATTTTGCCTCTTTAATATTATGTATAGATATAGATACAGAAATACAGCTATGTATATACTACTATATATACTAGTAGCTGTTGGACTTGCAGGGCTGTGGCTCCGCCACTGCTTAACATGTCTACGACAATATTAAAAAGGAGCATAAAAGGGATCTGCACAATATTTTATATTTGTTTGTCTGTGTTTAACTTGTGAAAAGAGAATTCAAATTGAAATAAAATGGCAAATTTTTTTTTTTAAACAGGGCATATTAAATAGGGCCATCTCCGTTAATCCTTTAACAGAGGTCGGTGCCTTCTAACGACCGCCTTCCTTAAAGCATATTAACATAGGCGGTCTCCTTAAGGCAGCCGTCCTACGTTAATATGGTTGATGGAGGCGGCCAAGGCACCCACCTCCGTAAAGCGCCATTAACGCATACACTTAATCGGAGGCGGATGCCATGTCCGCCTCCGTCAAGCCATTTTGACTGCCTCCTTTAACGTAGGCACTAGTAGTGTTCATCACTCGCTTGAATAAGTACTAGCGACTGATGGAAGTCCGTCGGGCATGCACGACTCAACCCGCCTATTTAGGCTTGATCCAGGCCACGCGACAACATCCAAGGTCTTGTTTGGATACACTCGTATTTTGGGTGAATTGAGAGGAAACTTATTTTAATTTTCATCTTCATCTCAATGCACTCCAACAGAGGTGGATTGAGATAACGAGTGTATCCGAATAAGCCCTGATGCATGAGTTGATCCACGCTAGCCAGACACGACCCTAGCCCGGTAGTGCGTGAGTTGGGCTAGGGCACCTAGTGCGACTTCCTCGCCGTGGCCCAGTTTCACGTTCATTGCTTAACTCTGTGATACAGGATTAGGATCATCCTTTTGAGCAATGCTAACACAGCTCACCATAAAGTCGTCGAAGCAGAGCAGCAACCTCATGCTGCCGTAGCCGTTGCGATACTCCCCTGCACGCGCATTGGGCAGGCCCTCCCTCCGTCTTCGACGCCAGGAGACCCTCCTCGTCGTGTAGGAGCAACGGTGCTTTGCTACCGATGCCAGGGAGAACAAGGCTGCAGCTGCACGTCAGCTCCTGGGCTCTCGGTACTACGGTCCATGGAGATGTCGCACTCCTGTTAGGCAACTTTGTGGCTTGGAGTTGTTGTTGATTGGGCTGCGACCTGCCCTGCATGCGCTTCCGGCATCGGTAGCAAAACACCAGAAAGTACAGCCGCCTTCACAGCGAGCGAAAGTAGAACGCTGTCCCAAAATGAATTAAGAGACCAGAAAAACCAACCTTCCGCCATCCTTTGGTCGTCAAGCAGAGGACAGAGGAGGCCCCTCGTTCCGGCCGTCGTCATCCATCGTCTTCCGATGGGCACTACCGCGGCAGGCGTCAACAGGAACGGGAATTGAGATTTGGTAAGCAGGGCTTAGCTCCGGTAGTCCGGTCCCTTAATTCGCACTAGCTTGTGTAAGGCACAAAGCACAAGTCTGCACGCGGAAGGCTCACCTGTCTGAAATCACAAGTTCACATCAGTGTACACAGAAAGTACGTTCAATACAAACAGGGGAATTCTTTTTTTTTTTGTGTGTGTGTGTGAAGACATATACATTAGGAGGAAAGGCAGCAGTACTAGATACAAAAGAGACGGCCGGAGAACCAGCTTTATTTGATGTTCTCAACAGTAGTAACTAAGACGATACAACAATAATCACGAATATTTAACTGCAACTAGGAATTGGTTGGACCTCGACCTACTATCATTCTCAGCCTTTAGCTCCTCCAGTATTGCATGGCTTAGTGCACGGTTGTTCTCGTCACCATCGACCGTAACCTTTTTCAGGTTGGTCAAGTGTTCAATGCCAAGGATGCTCCTCTCCGCCACGTGTCTGGACCTGCCGTCAAAGTCCAGTTCAAGCATCTCAGGCATTGCCATGGATCCTTCCTCAAATCGAATACCTTTGGGTAGATAACCTCCAAGTATCAGGTCCCTGAGCACCGGAAATTTGTGGCTGCTGCGTGCAACCAGCTCATCCCCGCTGTAGCAGACCCAAGTCACGTACAATGTCTTCAGGTTGGGCAGCATACACAGGACGCCAAAGAGCTTATCATCAGTAAGGGCTGTATCCAGAGTAGAAAAACTAACAAGATGTACGAGTGACCCGATCCAGCTGGGCAATCCATTGGCAATGTCACCTGTGATCCAAAGGGTTTGGAGGAGTCGTGGTGGTGTTGGTAGGTGATGGAGAAAGTTCAGTATCTTGACACCACCATCATCACTCCTTCCATGTTGTCCTATAGTGAGACATCGGAGGGAGTGCATCTTACTTAAGGACAGACCAAGTTCTTTGAGAACCTCCTCATCAATGGCCTTGTTGATGTCGATGGATAAGTCTAACTCTTCTAGTTCCTCAAGTTCACCTACCTCTTGGGCAACTTTAGAGTCATCCCCAAGAGATACCCCACGCAGCGCATGTAGAGCCTTCATTTTGTTTATTCCTCGGGGCATAGTCCACATGGTACCCCAATGATCATCCTTGTTGAAGAACAGTATGTACTGGAGTTTCTCTAAATTTGTGATTGTTTCTGGCAGCTCAGTAAGAAGCGTGTAAGCTAGATCAAGCGTCTGTAAATGCTCTACATTCCCGATCTGCCTAGGCACCTTGCTTATGTTTGTGGCCCTCAAGCTTAGGAACCTAAGTAGGTACAGATTGCAGGCGTACCTTACATGCTTGTTTGTTACTCCCTCACAGTCTTCTAGGTCAAGCACCCTCAAGAGGACGAAGTTGCCTAGCGTTTTTAGGAGCTTGTGTTGCCCATGGAGCTGGAACATGCTCAGTGATCGAACATGTTGTATGTTCAAATTATCCTCGCCTCGGCGGCCTTCAACATTTCTCTTTGCTACAGAATCTACACTTTATACGTCAGCATGGATGGAGAGGAGACGGATCTTGTCATACAACATCCCCTTATACTGCCCTCCATGCAGGCTAAGAAAGTTAGCTTCCAAGGACTTGGACACCATGACCTCAAGAAGCATGTCACGCACCCTGTATGTTTGCTCCATCCAGGCATAACCACCCGAATGCCCTGCTTCTTCAATCATGTTCCTACTCAAGAGTTCGTCCAAGTAAGACTCTGCGACCTCCCACATAGTCAACCCCCGCTTTTGATGAACCAATCCTTCAGCCATCCATCTGTTCAATAGTTGGCCCTTTCTGATCACATAGTCCTCTGGAAAAATGCTAAAGTACATCATGCAACCCTTGAGCTCATGTGGGAGGTGATTGTAGCTAAGTGTGACTATATGCTTCATCCCCTCAAGGGTAGGGTGGATCTCCATTTGAGAACCAAGTGATTTGCAGACTCTATCCCACTTATCTTTGCCTCCTGGTGATTTGTACCCTACCAAAACACTAGCAATGCTGATAATGGCCAATGGCAGGCCACCGCATTTTTTCAAGATGTCGGCCATTACACCTTCAAACTCCTTGGGGTAGGAGGCATCCGTGGAGCCAAACACTCTGCTGAGGAACAACTTCTTGGACTCTTCATGCTTGAGCGGTTGCATTTTATGAATGCAAATGCCACTAAAACTAGCAGGACTGCATGCATTGGCCACTGTATCTATCCGAGTGGTCAAGATGATTCTACTGCCCTTGTTGTTCTCCGGTAGCTTGGATTGGATTGCCTCCCATGCTCGCACACTCCAAACATCGTCAATCACTATGAGGTACCTGGTTTAAGCATATGTAATATAGTTAGTTTAGCCATATATCCAGAAGGCAATTTATGACCCCTCATGTGCAAAATGTATGAAAATGTTTATGTGTAGTCTCTTTATTTTTGCAGAACAAGGTTACAAGAGTGGGAAGTGCAATTATTATTATTTCTTATACTAGTCTATCAACTCATGCTCTATACATATTAGAAGAGTGGGAAGTGTTAGAAATTCCCTAATTCTTCGTGTTCTAACACGGTATTTATATAGATATTTTCTTATCTTTTCCTAGTTGTGATAGATTTTAGTTTCAAATTATACTTACTATATACTTTTTAATACCCATTCATTGTTTTCCACATTCACTACTATAGAAAAGTTATTATCTGAGGCGGGCGGGCTGGACGGTCGCCTCAGTTAATAGGTGGCAGGGCCGCCGACCAAGCACCCACCTCTCGGTTAATGCTAAACAAAGGCGAGCAGCATTAAGCATCGGTGTTGTAACACGACCTCCGAGGGTGGCGGAGACCTGCGCGGCCAGCAGTTCGCAGAGACGTCTCCGACCGACTACCTAAGCAAAGGCCCGGCTACCACGCCTCCAGACCCAGAAAGATGACGGTTTCTTAGACTGCTTGCAGGACGCCGCCGGTGACCCTGGCGTAGCCTCCGCCCGGTTAGCTCGTAGGCGTCTCCGACCGGAGGGGGCGGAGGCCGCCCCACTGCAAGGCTAATCAAGTGCAAACGTTATCTATGTGTGTGTGCAGGTAACCAGAGGAAGGTGCTCATGGACGGCGCGGGCGCGCCGGTTCGGCCTCCGCTCGCAAGGGCAGAGACCCAAGCAGGAGGACGACAATACTGGGCATCGGGGGTCTGCGGCCTCGGCGTCCCAGGGGCGGAGACCGATGGCGGAGGCCCAAAGGCCCATCGCCGAATCCTGATACCTGATGGGCCGGCTGATCGTGCAGGCCCAGTACCTGAGGGCGGCAAGACAAGATTACCCCCGAGAAGAAAGACGAGTAGTGGGATATTCCGAGAATGTACTGTAGCAGTTGAAGGTTACTATTGTAAACTCTGTGAAAGTGGTAGTTGAGCCCTATAAATAGGGAACACTTGTAACAGTACGGGAGGTTGGTGAATGAATTAATGAAACCCTAGTTTTACGTGCCATTTCCCTACACGCCCGCTTGTCGTGTCTGTTTCCCGAGCCTCAGCCCGAGGGAAGCGCCTGGCGGGCGGAGGCCTCCACCTCCTCCACATTGTCTGAGATCGCAAGTCTCAACACATGGCGAGCGGAGGCCTCCGCCTCCTCCACATTGTCTGAGACCGCAAGTCTCAACATTGGCACCCACCGTGGTTTGGCCAAGGCAAACCAACGATGGCAGGGAAAAGAAAAACCACCACCCGAGCAGCAACGACCACGGGTCAGTGAGGAAGGCCTAGGCGCACCACTCGTAGCACCTACGCAACCTCGCCAGTGGAGGATGACACCAGAGCAGATGCCCAGGGTCAACCACCGCAACCCCAAGATCCAGAGATTCAAGATCCGGAGGCCCAACCAAACTCAGCCACAACACTCGAGTAAGAACTGCAATAGCTGCAAGCACAGTTGCAAAGAGCGCAACAAGAGAGGGATAGAATGGCAGCAGCATTCACAGCTAATCAGCAAGCTATTCAAGTGTCAGCACAAGCAGCAGAAATAAGGCAGCAGTTGGCAGTCCTACATGCTAAGATGCTAAGTATGCAGCATGCAGTACCAGCGTCAACCTCCACAATCCTAGCCTCCGCAGCAACACCAACTGCAACCATACCACAAGGGCCTCCGCCAGCGATCAGCCAGCCCACGATGCCATCTCAGGTGATGCGGAGGCCTATCGATCCCAAGTCCCCACTCTCTGAAGGCATACAACAGTCGCCATGGCCAACAGCGTACAAGCCAATCACACTACCAAAGTTCAACAGAAAGACAGACCCCCATCAGTTCATTATGAGTTACGAGGCAGCAGTAGCCTCCGCCGGCAGAGATGACGCCGTCTTGGCAAAGTCATTTGTCATTGCAGCCGAAGGCGACGCGTTGGCTTGGTATTCTATGCTCAAACCAAGCACAGTCTATTCTTGGGAGAACCTCCGGGACAAGATATTGGCAAACTTCAAGGGGCTAACAGCACAGTCGCTGACTTCCACAGATCTGTTCTAGTGCAAGCAAATGCAGGGAGAGACACTACACGACTACTTCCAGAAATTCATGCAACTAAAGGCGAAGGCACCAGACGTCCCAGACGAGACCACCATTGAAGCAGCGATCAAAGGCCTCCGAATCGGGCCGTTCGCAGCACACCTAGCAAGAAAGAAACCAACTTCCATACAGCAGTTGTATGATGAGTTCGAGAAATACTGTAGATCGGATAATGACCTCCAGAAAAGGCTGGAGGAGCAGGGTCAAAACAGACAGCAAAACAGTAGCAAAAACTCCCAAAGAACCTATACGAACCAGAATGCATCAAATCAGAAACCAGGCCAGGGGCAAGTGCTCAGCATCGAGGGCCAACCTCACCCCGAGCAAGGGCAACAGGCAGCGCCAGCATGGCCGGAGACCCAGACCAGGAACCAAGGTCGGCAAGGTTACCAAGGCAAAAACTGGAACAAAAACCACAGCCAGAAACAACGCAGGCCATATTGCGTTTTTCACGGCGAAAACGCAGGGCACAGCACCAAAGATTGTCCGGAGACAAAAGAGATACAGGAAAGGATGAAGAACAAGCAGAATGCCCAACCTCCGACATAGCAGAGCGCAAGAGAGGTTAACACCACCTACACAACTGGCCACTAGCAGTACTGCCCAATGTACCCAGCGCTAAACGCAACCCAAATACATCCCTCCACACTGGCCTCTGCCTATTACCCAAACTTCCTACCAGCATGGCGGTCAGCGCCTTCGCAGCAGCCTTCGGCGGGTAACTACAGGTCAGAGGCAAGCCTGACCTACATAAACCCAAAATCTCCCCACATAACCTACCTCGAAACAAACCCACCGGCACAAAACCAAATCAGGTTTGAGCCTCCACCGCAACAGCACCACATGCAACAACTGCTTCCACCGCCACCTCATAGCCAACCACTAGCACCAAAAAATGAGCCAAGCCCAGAAAACCAAGTCAACCCCCATGGACCGCTACCAACAATAGGCATGATACTACCAATCGCCGGAGGATCATCAATGGAGTTTCAAACGAAAAAGCAGAAAAAGGATCACCTCCGCCTGGTAAACAACATAGCAGTCCAAGGCCCAGCAAAATACACAGATTGGTCTAGAGTCCCAATCACCTTCACAGAAGAAGATCTCCAGCTAGAAAGCTACCCTCACGTAGACGCAATGGTAATCAAGACAAACATAGCAGCATGGGAGATAAGCAGAGTACTGATTAACACTGGCAGTTCAGCAGATATCATCTTCGCAAATACCTTCGACCAAATGAAGCTCAGCAGAAATCAACTACAGCCCTCCGAATCCCCTTTGATAGGATTCGGAGGCAAGCAAATACAAGCATTAGGAAAAATCTCACTCCCAGTGTCGTTTGGAACCCAAGCAAATGCTAGAACCGAGTACATAACCTTCGACGTCGTCGATCTGTATTACCCATACAATGCCATCTTGGGCAGAGGATTCATGACTAAATTCAACGCAGCCCTGCATATGGCCTACCTGTGCATGAAAATACCAGCACTCCATGGTATTATCATAGTCCGAGGCAGCCAGAAAAAAGCAAGAAACACAGAAAAAGCAATCTACATAGCCCAAAGAAACATCAATGTAGTCGAGTTGGCAGACCAAAAACTAGAGCCTCCGGATATGCCCATAGGAAAAATAGATATGGCAGGTCAAGAAGAGACAAAGGTGACCCCTCTAGAAAAGGAGTTACCAGACATAAAAGTAACAATTAGCTCAGAGTTGAGCAAAGCAGAGGAGGAAGAGCTCATGGAAACTCTAGTAAAAAACAAAGACATCTTTGCCTGGTCAGCCTCCGACCTGCAGGGAGTCAGCAGGGACATCATACAGCATGAACTGGATATCAATGAAAACATGAGGCCAAGAAAGCAGAAACAAAGAAAAATATCGGAGGACAGCCTGGCAGCAAAGGCGGAGGTGCAAAGGTTGCTAGATGCAAAAGTCATCAGGGAAGTCAAGTATTCAGAATGGCTTGCAAACGTAGTACTGGTACCAAAGAAGAATGGCAAAATGAGAATGTGCATAGATTTCATAGATCTGAATAAAGCTTGCAAAAAAGACCCTTTCCCATTGCCAAGAATAGATGTCTCCGTCGACAAGGCAGCCAGATGCCAGAGGTTTTCTCTCCTCGACTGTTTCTCTGGGTATCACCAAATCTGGATGAAAAAAGAAGACGAAGACAAGACAAGTTTCACCACTCCATTCGAGACATATTGCTACACCAGAATGCCAGAGGGCCTCAAAAATGCCGGAGCAACCTTTGCTAGAATGACAAAGGAAGTTTTGGGCTCACAACTAGATAGAAACATCATATCCTACGTCGACGACATAGTGGTCATGAGCAAGAACAAGGATGATCATGTCTCCGACTTACAAGAGACCTTCACCAACCTCAGGACAGCTGGCCTCCGCATCAACCCAGAAAAATGTATATTTGGAGTTACAAAAGGGAAGATGCTCGGATACATCATAAGCAGTGAAGGCATCAAAGCGAACCCAGACAAAACCAGAGCAATAATGACAATGGCAGAACCCAAAAACAAGAAAGAAGTGCAAAAGCTGACGGGAAGAATAGTAGCGCTCAACAGATTCATCTCAAAATCAGCAGAACGCAGCCTCCCCTTCTTCCAAGCCCTGAGGGGCGGAAACAACTTTGAGTGGGGGTCAAAGCAGTCGGAGGCATTTCATAACTTAAAAGAGTATCTAGCAAACTCACTGGTGGTCTCCATCCTAGAATCGGATAGCCACCTATTGCTATATGTGGCGGCCTACGACCATGCAGTCAGCGCAGT